GCATAGTGTAAAAAGTGTGTAAGAATTCAGATATTCAGAAATTGAAGATTTTAAAAACTCGAAAATTCAGAAAAACTATAAAAAAGGGAGAGCGGAAAAATTTTGTTATTGGGCACCCTACAACAATCACTGATAAATCACTCTCTGCCTCTCTCTCTCTCTCTCTCTCTCTCTCTCTCTCTCTCTCTTTCATTTTCCAGTGTACCTACACACCGTTTGAAACATGTGTTATCATCATCCTTTCGGCTTGGCTCTTCTTCTCAATGAAAAATAGAGAAAAGAAGGATTAGCAGGTTGTGAGGTCGGTAAGTCGAAATGTTTCCGAGAGAGAAGGAAAATATACAACAGCACAGGTGTGACAATATTTGAAAACGATTTTTGTTGGGTTTTGGAATTAGAATTTACAAAGAGCGGGATGAAACAATGCTTGGAAAATTCTAGAAGGATAGGTAGGCGCCGCAATGAAAGGGGACGGGGGCGACCAAATTTTTCTCCCCTTTTCAGAAATCCATCTTTGAAGTCTTGTACCGGGCGTTAGAAACTCATTATTTTTGGGTTAAAACTTGTCCCTATGTAATCGACTGCGAAAAATCGAATGAAACCATCAGTTTTTTGATAATTTCATTATTTTGATTCGAAAACTTCGAAAAACAGGAACGGGACGGACAAATTTGACTAAAAGTGTTGGATGGAAGTTCGTGTCACCAGATTTTTTGATGGATTCTGGTAGTTTATTAAATGGGGGATTGGATTTTGAAGTAAAATCAAAATTCTACTGACGTCACAATTTCAGCCAAAGTTCCAGCCAAAATACGAAAAAAAATTCAGCGATGACCCCAAATTTTTTTTGCATATTTTGATAAAATTAAGTTTTGTGTATGCCTCTGCCAAGTTCCAGAAAGATTGGTAACTTTTAAGTAGTTTTAATACCCATCCGAAATTTCTAAACTTTCTAAATTTTTGGTTTTTGGAAGTTTTGATGGTGACACAGGTGAGTGCCACCGATTTTCTTTTTTCCATAAAAAAATACGCAAAATTTGACACCAAATACTATCATAATTTAAAAATTCTATCGATGCCCTTATACTGAAAACCGGCAGTTTTCTCATTTTTCATAGAGCAATTCGTTTAAAGGTGGGGGGACAGGAGATTTTTCGTAGTTTTTTTGTAGCTAGAGTATGCATTCTACCGTCACGGTGTACAACGCTTAATGTTACTCTGCGTACAGCTGTCGTCCTCGCCTTTATGTATGCAATCGGGCGTGCGCTTTCTCTTTGCCCGCGTGGCTCAGTCGGTAGCGGCGCCGCACCCTCAATCATCGCCCTCACAGGTTCAACTCCTCGAGAGGCATCTTTGAACGGAATTTCGAGAACATTATTTTTTTCATGTCCCCCCACCTTTAAAAAACAGGAAGAAAGGAACAAAGCAAGGAGGCGGCAGGGAACGAACAGTCGCCCTTTCCTCTATCCCCTCTAGGGCTTACACGACAAGTGCAGCCGTGGCCGACTGGATAGTGGGCGCGCGCGCCGATCCGAAGACGTCGGAGATTCGGATCCGTCATGTGTCTATTAGCTTTTTCTTCAATTTCCTTTACGTATTTTCCGCGCCGCAGGATTGCAAGCTTCTAAACCCCGCCCACTTTTCTGCGCACCGCAAAAAATGAGGAGAAAGTCAGTACATCGAGGCCTGGTACAAAAGGGTGTGTAACTCGGGATTGAATGAATATTTTTCGCTGAAAATTTGGGAATGAACTTCTATAAGGTAGGAGAAGACAAGCCAACAATAAAAAGTGGGAAAAATCTATTTTGAAAATTTTGTTGTGGTGCCTAAAGATAGGCTCAGCTTTTCCAATTGAAGATTCTAGGAGGTCAGAGAAAGTAAAGCAGTTGTAGAAAGTTCGAAACATGGTTTTTTTTGTTGAATCCTCAATAGAAAGGAAAGGCATGTATCAGTTGGGAGAATTCTTCAAATTCTATCATATTCTGGAATTCGATGATGTTTGAAAAACGGGGGATTTTCGCAAGGTTCTGAAAGTTCGAAATTCGAGGAATATGGTAGATTCCTGGAAGTTTGAAACTGCAGTAGTTTGGAAATTCTAGAAAAAATCGGATTTTCGAAATTCTTGAATATTCCAGAACACAGATATCCAAACATTGAAAAATCCAAAAAAAAACCAAATTCCAGACATTCCATGAAAATCCCGAAACTCCCCCGAACTTTTAACTTTGAGTCAATTTATCTCGCTTCCTGTAAAAGATATCAAAAAGTGGTCAACTGACAAAATGCTTTTGATAATTCGATCAATATTTTGTCAATTGACCACTTTTTGATATGTTTCACAATTAACGAAATATGTGGGCTCAAAGTTAACGACTTGGGGCATTTTTGTTTTTTTTTCTCCAAAAAAATTTAAGTATTTTTTTCCAAAATTTTCAACAAAAACGTCCGTCTCAACACTACTAATCTACCTCCTTTGTTTCCTTTTTTAAAGTTTTTATGTTTTCGAAATCCTGCAAAACTTTCTCTTTTGTCGCTGTCGAGAAAAATAAAGACAAAAGGTAAATAATATATTTTTGAGAAATTCAATTTACCAAACAACTTTTGCTTTCGGTTTTCTTACTGTAGAATTCTTGGGTTTAGTGGGTCAACAACAAGAGCAGGAACATCAAAAAGTTAGTTCAACAGAGCAGGGAGATTTGGAAACTTACGATTTTCTGAATTTATAGAATGCTTCTCAAACCGTTAACTTTGAGCCCGTATATCTCCTGTGAAAGATATCAAAAAGTGGTCAACAGATAAAATGTTTATCATAAAATCAAAAACATTTTGTCAGTTTACCACTTTCTGATATCTTTCATAGGAACCGAGACGAATTGGTTCAAAGTTGAAAGTGTGGTTGCAGAATTTTGGACAAACAGTCACACAAGCAGACGTTACAAAAACGGACAAATAAAGAAAGGGGTTAAAATTTCCAGGAACACTTATACATCACGGGTGTCCGATTATTTTTCTCCCTGTCTCTCTCACTCTCTGACTTTTTTATCCTCCAAAACGATACGAAAATGAATCATTTATCTTGGAAGAAGGACGTCTTACGGAGACCCCCCAACAAATGGCTGAATGGGCGGAAATCGGAGAAGAAGAAGAAAGAATTTTAGAATATCGAAAAAGGCTACTTCCAGATTTTTAAGGACTTCCGAAGTAGGAAAATATAAGTGTTCAATAATACCGCAATCCCTTTCAAACCGTCAACTTTGAGCAAGCGTAGACTTTTCAACTTTGAGCAAATATATTTCAATTTCTGAGAAAAATATCAAAAAGTGGTCAACTGATAAAACGTACATCAAACTATCCAAAATAATTTACCGTAAAACCTCTAATAGAACGA